ACTGTGCTTTTACCCTGATCTCACTGGACTTTACTGCACTATACTGTGCTTTTACCCTGATCTCACTGGGCGTTACTGCGCTGTACTGTGTTTTACTGCAAAGGAGACCCCAGTAGCGTGTCCTGAGGGTCCCCAGGAACAGGACAGTCAGCCGGGGGTGTCTGGAGTCTCCAGTACCTCAGTCTTCGCGGCAGGTTTCTTGGTTGCTTTGACACTCGCAGTGCGTTTCGGCGGCCTCTCTGCTGCATCCTCGTCGGACTGCTCTGTCCTGGCATCTGACTGGTCCCCATCGGGCTTGTGGCCGTGCGACTCGTCGGCTGCAGTGGGCGTGGCGCGGGCTGCGGGAGGGGGCAGGTGAGCGAGCAGCAGCATCCTCCTCTTTCCCTGCCCACTCGTGCCCTTTCCCACTCTCACATCGCAGCTCCGACACAGGGAAGGCCAGCTCCCCCTTGCTGTGGTGCAGCTGTACAGCAGCACTGCCCTCAGGAAACACGAGCCACTGGCAGAACGGCAGGGACACGGACGCAGAGCCAGGCAGCTCCGACACACCGGGGCCAGACAGCGAGGGGTGTCCAGTCTGCCCTCAGTGGGGCACTGTCTCTCCAGAGCCCACACGGTCAGACAGATGTTTGCTCAACATTCACCTGATGCACAGCTGGCACTCACTGGCCTTGAAACACCCTTCTATTTCTGCTTAATGTAATTAAAAGCTCTCCAGGACTCCTTCAACCTGTTTGAGGACTAGGGAAAACATGGATGTGTAATGTATATATTGGATTGCAAAGTGCATCACACACAGGAGGGGACCCACTTCATCCCCACTGAAGTGCAAAACCACCTGGGTGACACTGTTCTGCACCTGCAGACCCACGACACACAGATCAGGGGAGGAGAGAGAAACTGTACGAGACCAGAGTGGGGTTCAGCCAGGACACTGGGGTGACAGCCCCACTCTTACCAGCAGCCCTGGGATCTGTACTGACCGAGCAGTCAGGACCTCGGTTTAATGTCTCACCTGAAGGACAGCATTCTGGTCTAGAGAGAAAAGCACCACCTACTGGTCCACCAACACCTCCTACAGCAGCAGCCTGCCTGTCCCTGCAGCTCTACTGTCCAGGCCCAGCCTTGCTGACCAGCTCAGGCTACTGAAATCGAGACTTCAGCTCTTCAGTTGACTGCAAGTTGAACTTAATTTAAGCCACTAGAGACCCCAGGCCAAAAGAAAAAGCGAACATTCAGGCAGGCCTGAGAATGGCGGCTACACGTCATGCTCAGTAAACCCCCAGAATTCTCTGCTTCCAGGCAGCTTCAGAGAATGAGAAGAGGAAGTGAGACACACCTCTGTTTATACTCACACCTTCATGTGTTCTGTCTTCACAGATCTCTCCTGTGTCACAGTTTTCACAGGCAGGAACTGTGAAAGGCGCTATACAACCCCGATGTGACGCACGGACCCGATGGCCCGTGCAGCAGCCCTACCTTTGCCCCGGGGGGAGGTGCCCCCCCCTCCCGAGTCGCTGATGGAGTCCAGCAGGCTGGCTGCAGAGCTGCGCAGACGGGGGTCGGAGCTGCGCAGGTGCAGGTCTTCCTCGTCCCGGATGAGCGTCAGGTCCTGCATGCTGAAGCTGCGCAGCTTCTCCGACAGCACGCCCTGACCCTGCAGGAGCGAGCGCGCAGCTGCAGACAACGGTACCGACACCACAGCAAGGACAACCGCACTCGCCGATTCATTACAGGCTACACTGATCCCTGGCCCAAGTTTCTTCTTCAGCACTCGGGAGCACATCGCAACTGCTCGCTCGGCTCTTCTCACTACCTGACTACCTGAAGGGCTGAGGCTGAGCTCACAGAGTGCACCTTGAGTACAGTACAGCAGGCAGGTGATCCAGGTGCAACACGCACACACATACTGGACCTGTTCATTTCCATGCTCAAGTGTGTAGGCTGGAGATGTGATGACTGAGGTACTGAAATGTGGCGATGGTTTGGTAAGTGGCTTTAGAAGGGGCTATATCGCCCTCTAGGTACTGGAGGACTGAAGCACAGGAAATTAGTTGAGAAATACCACATGCCACGACGTAGCTGTAAAGTCTGAATGACGACGAACAGGACGATTAACTCAACGAGCGACTCGACTGAATGACCTCTGACCTTGGTGGCAGCTGTCACGGCTGCATTAGCGGCCAGGTTCAGTCCCCTCTTTCCGAACCGCATCATGGTCTCGTAGCTCCGGTCCCGGGCCTGCGTGATGTACTCATCGATCTCCTGGATCGCCAGAGACACAAAGGAAAGCCTGAAACACACAGCCCCTGATACCCCCGTCGCCCCACTGCTGAGGCTGTACCACACACCTGGAGAACCTGCACACAGCTGGAGTACAGACTCTTACTGGAGACTCTGTACAGACACACAGCTGGAGTACAGACTCTTACTGGAGACTCTGTACAGAGACACACAGCTGGAGTACAGACTCTT